ATTCCTTATGTCCAATGCCTTCAATATAGCATTGGTTCCATGTTTTTACATGGAATAGTACTTGAGATATTAGAGACATGCGTATTTAATGAGTTATATGACCATATATAGTCATCTAATATGTTAGTCAAACCTCTTGTCGTATAACTTCAATATTACACTGGTTGCATATTCCTATCTGTAACAGTGCTTGAGATATTACGGTTATGCATATTTCATGAGGTTGCATGACAATACATGGTCATTTGATATGATTATCACATCTCTTATCCCATAGCTTCAATATTGCACTGGTTGCATGTACCTATCTGTAATAGTGCTTGAAATATTTCAAACATAATGTACAGGGCCCTCCTCCTTTCCCATGATGCTTTGCAGGATACAAAAAAAATGTGAAAAAACATTCTAAAATCATTTTCTAAAAAAATGCTCTTCGCTTGAGAAGCCGTTTAGAAAAATAATTACTATGGCACTTGATCTTTCAAACTTACGCAGGGTTAGTGGATTTGTCAAAAATTATGCAAATGAGATGCAAAACAAAATTTCCGAAAATTCTAGCAAAAAAAGTCACGCGACCGCTAAAGTTTTTTTATAATGAAATTTATAGCCCTTGTCTCACTGCTGCTACCATACAAAACTGGAAGCACTCAGACCCTCAGAAAGGTGTGCAATTCGGCAATGAAATTTCGCCTTTAAACCAAGATGGCGGCCGAATGACGTCACATATCGAAAATCGGAAACTTTGACGTTTAGAGAATTGCTCATAGATTATGTCTGTAAAGTATCAGGTCACGTGGGCCTTCGAGAAGAAGAGTTTTAAAAAAACGGAAGAATAAGAATAATAAACGTAAAAATAAGAAAAGGCTTTCAATGCTGAAAAGCATCGAAAGCCTAAATATACTGGATATGCTACGTTGACAGGGACACATACTGCTACTGTTGGTATACGTCTGGAATATATTTACTATACTACTTCTTTAAATTTCTACGTCTTTTTTCTTCATATTCATAACCACTATACACTGAAATGCATCACTTCACATAAAGATTGCTATAAATTAGGTTTTTCCAATGATGTGTCGCTTGCGCGTTTCGGTGTACAAGCTACGCGGAGCACGCACGTCGCTTCTGATTTGAAATACAATACAAGTAAGATTATCTGCTGACAGAATAACTCGGCACGTTCAAGATCAATTTTAAAATTTCAATTCAATTATATGCTCCTCGTGAGATATGGTGAAACAAAAGCGGGCCAATTTCTTTCATTTATTTTGCCACTGCAATGCGCCCTCTGTTGACGAATTGAGTCAAAACAAGGCATAAATTGTTTCACTCTGAAAAGTGCTTAAATAGAAAATGGTGTTTTCAAAAGGAAAGCGGGTCGTCTGGGAACCTTTCAAGAGACATGTTTTCCGCATAATATTATATATATCTGTATATCGGTACAATTATTTTACCCGGGAATACCAATGGACATTGCACATTATTATAATACCGTGCGTTGCAGTGTTGCGTTCTCATTGGTCGACCAGTAGCACATGCTTTCATACTATCAAATGGCAATACACAAATAGACGACTGGATAATTAGCAACATTTAATGTCTACATGTGTAAAATCGTTTAAGCAACAATTTAACACATTTGTTCACGTTGAAGAGCTGTTTTTTAACTGAGAATTAATAGATATATGATAATTGTGCTTTGGCATACTATTTGCTTGTGAGCGTCGTCTTCTTCGGACACTCTAACCACTCGGTAATTTTTTTTCAACATTTCGGGGTATTATAATTGAAATATAGACTCCACGCTGTACGTCACAACTTTCCAACAGGGCGCGGACGGAGATGTACGCTTAAATATTTGGTTCGACTGCGTTTTGACTATTATTGCGCAAAAACCCGTTCTTGCCCTTTTATAATGCAATAGACAGGGCGTCGTCATTTATTCCCTATGCAACATCTCTAACTATGTCGCGCTAATGCGTCATATCTCGCGGTATGTGGTGACCAATATAGCGGTGACTTATCATTGTATCTCATACACGTGTGATGGTTTGTGTTCTGTGCATGTATTAACGTTTTTGGTGCTCCTCAAACGAAAACAGCCAAATATATCGCGGTATAATCTCGTTTGTTGTAGATAGTTATTCCAAGAAAGACTTGGTGTTCCATTGGAGTCCAAAAAACGCGATTGATATCAACCCGGATGTCTATCAATTACCAGAATTTTCCATTAGAGATATACACGCTAACGAGTGCACAGGACAACTTATAAACCCACCAGGTAAAACAAAATGATTACCTGTATACTTGTTCTTGTTTTATTTGTACGAACTGACGGATGGTATCATAACATTGGCTTACGGGTGTGTGGGGAAAGGAAATTGTGTTAGTGATTATCAGGTTGTGGAATCTTTCATACAGGTAATAGTACTGCCTTGTACTTATACTAGTATATGATTCGTCAATTAAATACTACAGCGTAGCGCTCGCCACTGCAAGTGTGATGTGTCGTAAAGTAATATATATGGAGGCTAACGTCAGAGTAGCGCACTGGATTGTGATACCGTTGTTATAATATGAAGACGGCCATTTAGTAGACAGACTGGACATCTTATCTAATTCACCAGCGGATATTTTAATTACTCCCACTAAATGTGAATAATTGTTTTATGCAGATTTACATTCCTGTATACAAACGGTGTTTGTATTGAATCGCCAAGTGGCATATCATTTACTGCAGAGTTATATTCCGACCTGTTTACTGGTAATCCTGTCTTGGATCTCTTTTTGGATTAACGTGGAAGCAGCGCCCGCTAGAGTTAGTTTGTGCATTACAACTGTACTCACCATGGCAACGCAGAATTCAGGTGTACAGACATCCCTGCCTAAAGTATCTTATATCAAGGTATGCATTTGTTTTCATGTACAATATTTGTTAAGGCAATTCAAGCCGAATTTAATTAATACTACACATCTGAGCATGTTACATAGTGCAATGCATTATGAGAAATAACCTCGTTGCTTAGCTATAATGTGTTGGCACAATTTCTCACAACAAGACAACATACATACTGCCTGTAAGAAGACAATGGTGTACATAATAAGCTACACATTATAAGATTTGCATGTAGGTCATGAAGGATTTTCCATAACATTCGGTAACATCCAGGTGATGATTAACCCACTTTCATTTCCCATTTGTTATTGTTGCTTAAGGCGGGGTCGTCGTCACCTACACATGCGCCAGGAGATGGTCATGGCGTGTCATTGTTTACAAACAAGCCATTGCGTTCTTACCGTGTGTTGTTATCATCGCTTAGAACTCAATTCTCGCGCGTGCGCAGGTGACGACCCTCCCGCTTTAATACATTTCGATGTAAAACATTTGACAATATATTTTGAATTAATCACTTATTGTAAGCTAGTTGTTCGCCGTACTTATTATGATAATTATATATATTAAAATTTTATGATATACTATCACAAGCACTTAATGACGTAAGGAGTCCATGGCTTAATTGTCTCTGGCTACATTTTCTCTTTATATTATACGTGTGATATATTTTGTGATAGGCAATTGACGTCTGGATGGCAGTATGTCTCATCTTTGTCTTCGCTGCTCTATTGGAGTTTGCTGGTGTCAACTATGTGTTGATGGAAGGCACGTTCCGACTCAGACGTCAAGCTACACAGAGGAGACGAAGAAACATGCAGGTACTGACTGACATTACAAATAGTTAAACATAAAACTTTTGATTGAATGCGCCTTAGATTCACAGCCGAATATATATGAGTATAAATATCTGCGTCTGCCAAATATCTGATAGCATCCACCGGAACGGCGATTGTTGGGACGCGTGAGTCCCATGCGCTATTGTCAACAGGTGTAAACAGCTTGTTTTGCAGATAATCCGAACTCGCACTTTACGTTGATCAACGATATTGAGTACATGCCGCTTTTATTGAAGGGCGGTAGTCGTCGCGCCACGCATGCGCGATATATATGGGTCACATATAAACAAAAATGGCGACTTTGACTGTTGCGCAGACCAACGAGTACAAACTGAGACGTTACCAAGCTTTAATTAGGTATTTTTTTTAGATTATTGGAGCTGTCGATGGAGTCACCGGCGGAATTAATGCAAGTCGCGCCAAGGTCAAGGCTCATACTTTGGATTTTCATTTAAAGAGCGTATTGAATTATGGGAAAATCAATGTTCATCAACACAAATGTCGGACATGCGCAGCGCGACGACCACCACCATTTAAACAATAAAGAAGTCACGTTTATCTGCCAGCGTCATATTCCCTAATAAATGCAGTTTCGTTTCAGGAACGACGCCAACCGAAAAAAGCAGAACATTCCCCGGGTAGACACCGACGCAGATCGCAAACTAACACCACCCTGACAGCTATTGAACGGTGCCTAGCGGAATTTGCAAACTCCGGTCTTGGAGATATGCAAACATCGTCCTACGAAGAAATTCTTACTGACCAACTCGCCAAGGCAAAACGTATAGACCGTGTCTCCAGGATTGCATTCCCTCTCAGTTTTTTCATCTTCAATGTCGTTTATTGGGTTGGTTATCTGTTGTTATGAACGAGATAACACTGTCGTAACATTGTCAAGTAACATGAGTTACTTATCACAGATTCTGAAAACATATTACCCTGTGTTCACATATAAATATTTGATTCACTAAAACGCCTATATCGCATTTTGTTTTTTAAGGATGGAGAGAGACGGAGGATTTGTTCAAGCTCGCCATAGTTTTTCACTTTGCTACCTGCAGAAAATGCCGGTTAACGTTTTTTAAAATGGCAATTATATTACGTTTGCACAAATTTGATGTGATCTGTTTAACTGATGATACTTTTTATGCTATCGGAGTATGTTCCATGTTGTTCTTTCATATTTGTTTGCCTGTTTTTAGTCTTTGTTGCGTAGTTACTAAGTTGACTGTTTAATATACACGACAGGGTCACCATTAAATGTTGGGAAATCACTCAACTAACAGTGCATGAACTGGTGAATAAGATTCGAAAAACATTGTATTGTAATATCACAATCGCTTGTAAACATGTTATATGAATGAAGAACACTGCACTGAGTATGTAGTCATAAGAAGAACGAGAGGGGAAGTTTCTAGGTTTCACGGAGTCCACTTTACAAATGTATACTTTATAATATATTTGAGTGACTGTACGTGCACATTGTTTTATGCTTTAATGGTTCAGTTTGATCGATGTTTCGTACATTATCCAAGCATCCGAAATACATGGTATGTCGCCCTAACTTACTCTTAATAATGTGTTGTGTTTTAAATTTAAAATAAATTTGCAATCGTTTTATATTGTCTGTCTATTCATCTTCTCCTTCACAATTAATGAATTCAGAGTATGTTCAAATTCTAGCATTCTGATAGAGTGTATCTATAACGACATCACACCTAATTTACATAAAATATCGAGACATCGTCGGAATCAGGATTGTGAACATAAACGAGTTTTTTGAAAAAAAAAGAGTGAACCTTATTTTCGCATAATTATTTCAGTTGATTGGTAAAATTTGATTTATGGTCTATATGGTGAAACCGAGTTTCTTAGACTCTGACGAAGTATTGTACCAACCCAGTTGTGTAAACTATGTGCTAGGCAAATCGTTTGGTTCGATAGTGCAGAATACAGGAACTTATGATTTACATTACGTTTGAAACATTAATTGTAAATTGGATTTTCTAATATGGTATGACGGAGATAGCGCAACTGCTTCGCGAGAGCTCTTTAAAAGCAAAACACAATCCAAATTGTTGTTGCCATTCAATTGTCTCATATAAGATCAGTATCATCTCGTTCATTGTACAAATGCTATGGTTACATAGATCAGTGGAACAGTGATGGCGGTAGAGATTAGAAAACTCTTTGAGGGACAAAACAAGTCTCGCTCTCCGTGAGATTTCGACGGTCATTTGCATTTAAGTTATAATACGATTTATATATGCATTAGTAATCGTTGGCACTGACAACCAATCACTGCGTTCAGTTCTTATGAGGCTTAGCTAATTACTTTTCGAAGAAAAAAAGAATTCAAGGAAGTTCATAGAGTTAACAAATTGTTTAAATTGCACACATTCGTGACCAAATATGTCTTGTTTCAAAATTGGTAATGCATGTCACTTATATTGTTGGAAGCGATAATTACCATGAAATGTACACCAGTCACCACGATGAAACCGGGAGCACGATTCATGTGTTAACATTTATAAAAAAAAAACTAAGTCATGTGAACAGCTGACCCGCCAAACATTTATGATCAGCCTCTACAGCAAAAATAAGATTTCGCCACATCGAGGGCGCTCTGACATTTCCAAAAAAGATCTGCAAATGTGTTTCCAGTGCAATTGACAAAAAACACGTTCGCAACCCATATACTTACAGTATCAATAATGAAAAAGTCTCTAATAGGCTTCTGTAGGTTAACGACCTCGGTATCTTCATGTGCTGTGCTGAAAATTAAACAACGATAATTTGTTGAGTTACGTAATATAAAAACAATATTTTGTTGGTGGTTGACAGAGGTCTCAGTGACACGCGGCTGGGCTTGCGTGAAGAGTTTAAGTACAGGCATGAGTGTTGTCCATCACGGGCGTAACTTTTATGGATGTATATTTGCTCCTTACGTTCACCTACTAAAAGAACAACACATGGGCCGGTAGTTGTACGCCCCTTTATACTCTGAGTTCATAACCCATATTGAAATAAAGCATGTCTGGCAAGTGGAAATATTTTTTTAGCTGTTAAGGTTGCAGGTAGACCCCCTTCTATCGTTTCAAAAAGAGTGATACGGTGATTTATTTCAAATATTGACTATTCTTTCAATTTGTATGTAAACTTATTCAATATCTCAACAACCATCGTCCGAATCGTACGGTTTCGCTAAAGTCGGCCATTCATAACCGGCCCACGAAAGCGCTTTCTTTTGAAGGTCAGTAAGCTCGTTTACAGAGCAAGAAACTAGCAGCACGTTGATTTCTATTTTCTACTATTTCAAATTTACCAAGTATGTGTCGGTTCTATCGTCAGCTCTGATTGGGTAATGCAAATGAGCCCGAGTGAATCTTATAATCGCTTGAGGGCGTGCAACATATAGTAAATCGTTGTGAAATCGGCCGAATAAATGGTTCTTGGCTGACGAAGATGCTCAACAACAAGATCTATGATAAACGTTCAACCTGTATTAAATGCATGTTTTTATACATCATTTTAATTAATCTAAAGATGTCTCTTCCATGTGGTCAGAAACATATTTATGCACTTATCAATTCTACTCTGATTAAAGGCTTATAAGAACAACATTTTATTGTTACGCGTTTTGGCATTCCGAAAAAATGCGACGGGTTTTCCCATATCCACTGATTGACCTATTGAAATAATGTGGATTCTCGATTATTGGTAATGATGCTATTGTTGCCACAGTTATCTAATTATTTTTGCTATTATCATTACTAATATCTTAAATTATTTGTCATTAATGTACCCTAATTGAACCTAACGAGTTAAAATAACACATGCCATATTATTAGCAATTTCCGGTAGCTTCGACATGATGTGAAAGATAATTTAACGAGATTATATAACATGTTAGAATTTTGATTAAAGCGACCAGTCCGTGGAATAGATATCTTTAATAGTATTACAATGACTTATAATACATGTCGTTGGCGAATGTTAATAACATCATTATTTGGCATTCGGGTTCCTTTTAGAATCGTGTTGTGCGTACCAGTTATGTTGTACAGTCACGATCAAACCGTACAAGTAGGACATGCGACAAAAACTGGTGAATAACGCTTACTCATTTCGCCTTTTTTATAATTCATATATAGATTGTGTTTCCTTTTACGCTTCAAGAGTATTGGCAGTAGCTGCTTTATTTTATGACATTGTTAAAACCGCAGTAGTAAAACAAAATGTTATTTGTTCTCTTTGATGCTGCCTAAAATATTTCGGTTGATGGTACAGTATATAACCCATCTCACGGAAACATATTTTCTGGAGTCAGGTCTAATCTGCGTAAGAAGCGATGCTAGCAGAAACATGCTATTAGTTATACTGACTTAAGCCAGCTTGTAGTGGATATCTTCGTAATGATTGTTTGCGGTGCAGTATTCCATGCTTGGTGATACTTTTATACAACAGTATCATTTGTATGTGCAACTATAAAAGAAAAGAGTGAGCACATTGTTTCGTTATTTGTCATGCACAATGTCATTATGCTATTCATGTTGAATTATAATTTTGTTTTTGTAAGATTTAAACACATTATTATTGTGCATTCGCAATGAATGAGTTGTATGTTATAAATCATATCAATAATGTATAAATAATGTATATTTGTTAGGCAGATTGAAATTCAGAAAATAACAAGCCTTGCTCATAATTAATATTGATTTGACAAAAAAGTTAAAGTTGCCTTCTTATTGGACAGGCCAACGAAAAGATAATTCTAATCGATAATGTACCTGTCGCTGGCAGAATAAATTAATACATTAAAACAAATAAAATAAATTTGGTTTGCTTGTTTATTTCATGAGTACTGATAAAGTTAAACATTGGCGACTTGTGACTGTCACTACGAAAATAGTTGAGTAAAGCTCAAAACAATTTACATTCCACACGCCATTCTTTTTTTATTTTTAGTGAAATATTCGAAAAACGTTTTTTTTTTTTTGAAGTTCCTGTCTATTAGTGGAAAAAAAAATAATAATCATTTCTGCGTTAGGCAGAGAAATTACAACATGAAGTCGACAAAAAAATCTGATTTATACTAATCTTTATACTACCATCTCTCAAAGTTCGTTGACAGCTTTTCCCATAATATCCTTCTCGCGAACCTGATATGATTTACACGACTCTAGTTTAAATCCCTTATGTCGTTATCTTGAAAATCGTAATAATTCATCATGCAATGATGATAATGTTTTGAGCCGATTCAGTTCTTTGTATTTTTAAATCGAACCTCTAGCTGTTAAATGGTCATTAGGCGCGATTTAAACAGAATCAAAGTCCAAGTTTCAGTACACAGTGTTAGTTAGTATGTCCAGCCATGAAATCAAAACCTGCAATACTACAATTACCACTGCAATATTCTAGGTATAACAATCTATAAAATATATGATTTTAACAAACGTGTTTCTAATTTTGTCGGAAAGTCAACAATCATCTGGTACTGATAAGACGACTGAAAATGTCAATACAAATACATGTCAAGCTTGAACTATATAATCGTTAAAGCAGTTTCATATATTCAATACTGCAAGTGTCGCAAGCGTAATTTTGGAGAACTGAAAAAAATAATGTGTGAGTTTGCTATTTTTTTTACTATAATGCAAACTGTCGGGTTGTAAGGAGAAGGGCCAATGCAGTATTTTGTCACGTTCAAAGTAGAACAGTCTGTCAGGAATACGTGGTTGTATACATTTTCAAGACATGAAGTCCCTAAAATGAATCGGAATTCCCCCAGTCAATACAACCAATGGTTGCACTCTTTTAAGGACCAGACGCCATCATTGTGGCTAGTAAAATCTACAGAAAACGATT